GCGGCAGTGGTGGTCGGTGAGTTTTGGAGCTTTCCTCACCACTGGGCTGGGAGCAGCGGGGATTGGAGGGGACACAGAGCCGATGAAACACTGGTTCCCAGAGGGGAAGCAGAATTAACGAATCAATAATGAGAATCGTTGACTTATCAATAACATTGATTTGTTATTGCAGCCCTAGTCATCACTCCCCGTGGGGATTGCCTCCTCCCCGCTCTCCATTCCTCCAGAGCTGACTGGTGGGACAGACAGGGGAGGAAATGGCACAGCTGGCTCTGGCTCTAGAAAGGCAAAGTCAGATGTCAATCAGGTAGTGGGGGTGGATCCAGACAATATTGTCGGGATCTTTTCCGGCTGCAGCGCAGCTCTGCACTGTCGGCATATAGTGGCCAATAGCTTTTTGCTGAGTTTTGGGTCACAGAAGGACATCAGTAAATGTCCCCCTGTGACCGAAAAGAGAACTAATGCCAAAAAAGGTTTGGCCATAGTTCTTTTTAAGGAGACATTAGGGGTCAACGTACCCCAATGAAGTTGATGAAGCACAGCTCATGCTTGATCAGCTTCTTCTCCGGTAGCTTATTACCATGCTCTGGGGTGCAACGCAATAAATACAAAATAAAAAAAAGGGTTTGCACTTCCTTGGTGCGAATTAGATGCGGTAGGCAGCCCATTCAAATGAATGTGCTTCCCTACTGCAAAGCAGTAATAACTCACTACAACCTATGTGTAATGTCATGTCACACAGTTGTGAATGGAGGCTTAAAGCTGAGGCAGACTAAAAGATGATCTTTCCCATAATGTCTTCCAGGACAGCATCACGAGATGGAATCTCCTCCCCCACACACAGGAAACACGTCACTTAATCTGTTTAAAAGACCCTCCTCTCCTCCACTCCCTCAGTCTTTTGTGTTTTCTCAGTCAAGCTGGGGGTTCTCGTGATGCTGTCCTGGAAGACTAATGGAAATAGAGTTACCGGTAAGTCCTAACTCTGAATATTATTATTATACAGGATTTATATAGCGCCAACAGTTTGCGCAGCGCTTTACAATATAAGGAAGACATTACAGTTACAATACAAATCGGGACATACATTTGACTTGGTATCAGCCTCTTTCAAGAAGAGGTCAGACAGAGAGAGGGGGAAGCAGTACAAGGAGCCAGTCAGGTGTGCAGCAGTGCAAGGAAGCATGCTGACAGGACATAGAGATGAATTCACTGCTTTCACTGTCCAGTCACAGGGTGGGGGAGGAGACCTAGATGGACGGAAACACATCCTTTGGCAAGTAAAACAGCTCCTTTTACATGTATTCTATCTGTTTACTTAACTGTTTGCTTGGAGTTTGGGTGTAATCTATTGCCCGTGAGAATAGGATCTCTTTTCCAGCAGATCTAACATGCTGTTTCAATATAAAGGGGGGTGGTGGGGGAGTATGAGGTGTTTCCTAGTGCTGGATCAGGGCTACAAATATATAAATGTACAATTGAGTAATCCCAATTCATGTCTTTTAAGATTCACAAGGCGGCAGCCATTCAGAACAGGAGCACAGTGAACCTGAAGACCTGGAATGTGTTAAGGAAGAAGGGTCAGTGGAATCTGCAAGCACTAGCACATCTCCATCTGCTTCTCCATCTCCACCATCACAGGCAGGTCTGTAGCTACTGTTGTCGTTGTAATTGCATGCATATAGGGGGTACAGAGCTGATTTGTACATGCAGCTGAATTGTCAGACCTTTCCAGCTTAAGCACATAAGAAAAACTCAGGAGGAGACATTGTAATTACTTGGAATACTGTGCTAGGGCTCGATTGAGCACACAGAGCACTGTTCTGAGGACATGCTAGGCACATTGAATTTTCTACCAGGGACATTCAGATGCCAAGGAGCACCCCGCAAGTGACATAGTGAGCACACGGAGTACGCTACAAGGGACATGCGGTACACACTGATCCTCTTTTTAACTCTGAGTGCCGTACATCGCTGGCAGGGGGCCCCTGTAAACGAATGGTACTGTTTAGCCATGTAAAGGCGACTGTAAGCTTTACACTTAAAGTGATTCTGGTGGCTGAGTTGCCACCAGATCGCTTCCAGGGGCCAGTGAAGAGTGCAACAGTGACAATCGCGCTACTTATGTTGGGTATCACCCAGTGCGTCAGAGGAATAATTCTAGGGCCAATATTCATGGTTAAAATAGAACTATGGGGTAAGTGTTTTTCCCCATAGTTCTCTTTAGGTTCACGGGAGGACATGTACTAACCTCCCGCTGTGACCCAAAGCTCAGTATATCGCGGTCTATTGCTCACTATATACTCAGAGCACCGCAGCCGGGACGGATCCCAACAATACTGTCGTGATCCACTTAGCTGCGTGAGTAACAGCTGGCGCTGCCTATCTAGAGGCAGAGCCAGCTGTGCCTGCCCCCTCCCCCATTCGTTCCTCCAGTCAGCACTGGAGGATCGGAGAGGGGAGGGGGGAATCCCTGCAGTGAGCAGTGACTGAGAGTCACCGCTCACTGCAGGGAGATGATCGGGAAGTGAGCAAATCGGTGCATGTTTCTGCTCACTTCCTGATCTATAGAGCCGGCCTGTGAAAGCTTCTTTGTCACAGGTCGGCTCTAACTATGTGGATGAGTGGCAATTACTCACCTCATAGTTCTCCTTTAATGCTATAAAATGATGACCTGTATGTGCTTTTGAAGTGTCGTCTATGGACAATTTGGAGTACAATTTTTATTTTGTTTGCCATTTCATGGGCGTATGCTAATTATAAGCTTGGCATGGGTATTATATTCATGCACACAAGGCCCACTTCTAGGGGCATGCTGGGCACGTGAAACCCACTTCTAGGGACACCATTTATAATGATATGTTCACATTTGTGGCTTTCAAGGGACAGTCACACTTTTACTATGATTGAATATACTGTGTGTGTTTAACAGGTGATTGTTTTTGAAAGTTTATACATGACTTGAAATCTTTATGTTCAGCGCAGTTGAAATCCCAGACGCAAAGCAAATCCAGGCAGCTCGCAGACGGCGAAATCGGGCACAGACAAAAGGAGATTTCTTATCGCTAAATGCGTCTCATGAAGCCTCGAATTCTAGCCAGTCAGAAAGCGACAATGAACTGGATGATCATGAGAGAAGGATCAAGTTTGCCCCCGGGATGAAAACTTTAAATGAGCAGATGGCTGAGGAAATGGGTAAGGTTCCTGCAGAAAGTACAGCAAACGGATATTCTCATGAAGTGAAAAGAGGCCAGCGGAACAGTCATTTAAACCATAGTGCAAAATGAACAGGAAGAGCAAAGTTGGCTATTCACTGACTGCTCTTATGAGCACTTGAATTCTGACTCCAACCAAAACCTGCTTTCCATTTCTATACTTCATATTGAACATTTTTACCAAAGATGTATAAAGAATACCAGTAATGTCAATGGTATAATGTGGTGTGCAGGATCAAAAGACTCTTAGGTCTTCACATACAATGGTACCAGAGTACATAGACAGTTCAGCTACAGGGTAGGGGCATGGACTACTATCCTAATGTATGTTGAAGCTTCTCTGTGGACAGACCAAAGGCTCTTACTGAACAAAGCAGTATGGAGATGAGTTAGCTTCTACATACGTGGTTGAGCTATAATGTGGTTTCATGTGTAAATGGGGTAGGAGATGGTTAAAGTAGAGCTCTGGGCAGAAATATTTTTAACCCATGCAGTGGGGCTACCCCCACACTGCAAGGGTTAAGTGCTTAACTATTAACAAAAATGTATCTTCTTTGTGTATCACTCGGCTGTAGATCCTCAAATCATCTCTGAATTGGTGCCGACACTGTCCTTCCTTTTGGAGGGGGGCTACTTTTGTTCCCCATGGTCCCTGTGTGTGCTGGGAAATAGTCACCGCTCCTAGCTCGCTCCTGTGATGGACTACAATCTCATTACAAATTAGTATGCTAAACATGAGATTGTAGTCCATCACAGGAGCGAGCTAGGAGCGGTGACTATTTCCCAGCACACACAGGGACCATGGGGAACAAAAGTAGCCCCCCTCCAAAAGGAAGGACAGTGTCGGCACCAATTCAGAGATGATTTGAGGATCTACAGCCGAGTGATACACAAATAATGTACAATATTGTTAATAGTTAAGGTACTTGAAAGCATTTTTAAGGTTTAAACCCTGAGTTTAATGCCACTTTAAACCTTGCACCAACTTATTGATCATGCTAATTTACCATTAGCTATTGATATAAACGCTTTTAGCAGGGATTCCCTGAGACTTGAAAATGATTCCTCTGGGGTAAAAAGTATGCAGTAGAATATATTAACCACATATACTGTTCTTTGTGTTGCAGCGTCTGGCAGTGACTCGGGCAGTGAAAACCAAGAAGACGATGACAGCCAGAAACGATGGGAGGAGCTGCAGATAAGAAAAGCTGTCAAATGTCCGCAGGTCTGCATTTCACCTATTGTATGTCTGATCATCTGTTTTCCACTATTTCATTTGTGATTTTCTGATTAGTTCATTGTAAACCTTATCTACAGCTTCAAACATTGTGTGATCTTTTGTTACAGCTTATATGTTCCTTATCTATTCTTTCATTTGAACTAGAAGCTTTCTATGAGTGATAGGAAGTAAAAGCAAAGCCAGAGATGCAATGCTCCACCCTTTATATCTCCCTGCACTTAAAGGGGACCTTCACACCTAAATATGGCTTTGCACAATTCTATCTCTCTCCCCCAATCCAAAAAGCTGACTTTTTTTTTTTTTTTTTCTCTCAAAAAGTTTTTCTTTTTCTTTTTTCTTTTTTGTCTTGCATACAGATAAACCAAAGTATTTGTGCATACATCCAATGCTGCCGACGAATCGACGATCGAAAACGTTGCCAACGTTTTCAATCGTCGATTTTAATCGACTAAATCGATTAACTGTTGCAGCTCTATAGACTGTATGCCAGAATCTCTTTACCTTGGGGCAAGACCTTTTTTATTTAATTAACCCCTGCTTCTATTCTTGCCTAGGCAAGAATAAAGTGTACTCTGTTTGTGGTGCATCTTGGGATATGTGATGTGCATTGGTTTCCATATGCAGTGGCTGGAGGAGGTGGGACCTAGCACACATCATCAGGGGCTGCCTTCTTAAAACAGGAATAGACAGCCAGCTCCAAATTGCATCAGAAAGGAAGATGGTGATGCAGGACCCGGTGTGTGGCTGCGGAGCAGCAGATCACTACAAATCAATGCTGGAATTCCTGGTCAGGTGAGTATGTTAATTTAAAGATAACCCAGTGAAAAATATAAGTGAGGAATAAAACAAAAAAAAAAACAATGTGTGGGGGGTGAAACCGGCTGAAATTCCTACAGTGAGTGCTGATGTCGGCACTCTTCGGGACAGCATCCCTCGATCAGCTGATCGAAGGAGCCAGTCGGAAAATCTTCAAATGAAGAGACTGGGCAGCCAATGAGCTGCCAGCTCTGTTTGCATTTTCTGACAGCAGCTGGCGTCCTCTGTCAGCATACAATGCAAACAGCGGGAGATTCCTCGATCAGTGCTCTTACAGATTTATGAGGAAATCTGTCATATTTTAACTTCATTCAGCCCGCAGGTTGAGTGAAGATAATATTAGTGTATGGCCAGCTTACCAGTGGTTGTGTTTACAAGAAGTATGGATAATAAAGAAACATTGGAGGCGACACTGTGTGTGGTATTTCCCTTTGTTGACGAGAAGTAAAGGCCTGCAGTTAGCAAATGTACTGAAAAATATTTGGCGGTATTAATCAGAATTTTGATGTGATACACGATTGTAAGCTGTACATTGAAATCATGTGATGTAATGCTGGACTCCTCCCTCCATCATTCTCTGCTTTTGCTCACGTCGCGTTCTGTATTCTTGTCTTTGTTCTGCTAGGCTATTAGAGAACTTGTCTTACGTGGAGGCAGTCCGCCTCGCGTAAAAAGGCATGTGGAGCCAAAGCTGCCACTGGTGACTATGGTGGATGTAAAAAAGAAGCTGACAACAAGGTATTTTTAGAGCATATCTTTTAATTCAAGACCAAATCCCCCTGAGGGGGATTTCATACAAATGGGGTATTTCAGTTACAGGTGAAATCCGAATCTGATGCAGACAGTAGCCCATGAACACGTGCCCTAATGAGTTGTACTTGAGAACTCTGCATTTTCATTGACCTGCGTGTTTCTAGGATCAAACAGCCCACTACAGCCTCACCCACATATTGGTCTTGATAGGGGTCAGTATCATTCTCCATACTTTGTACTAAGTAGGGATACACCGTTATCGGTTTTTCGATATCTAGGAAAAGTACCGATATATTTTTTTTTCCGGTACTAGCCAATGCAGATACCGGAAGTCCCATTAAGGAAGCCAGGCGGTGTGTAATGACTCACCACCTGGCTTCCTGATAAGCCAGGAAGCCAGACAGCGTGTAAAGACTCGCCATTCGGCTTCCCGATTAGCAGGGAAGGTGTCTCCATAAATAACGAGGAAGCATGGAGCCGGCTTCCCAGCCAATCAGAAAGTCGGGCGCTGTCATTACACGCTGCCCAGCTTCCTGGTACCGGACGTATTGGGCTAGGATCGGAGCATTTGGGCGATTACGAGTACTCGCCCAAATACTTGGCACTGATACTGGTACTAGTATCGGTGCATCCCTATTTATTAAGGCATCCATAGACTTTAGAGGGTGGTAAATGCTTCCCCATTGCCCTGCACACATTTTAGAATAGATCACATTAGAAATACCTTTTTATTTTAAACAACATTTTTCTATGTTATCATGTGACCGCAAAGTTCCAGCGCTACCCTTCAGCCCGCTGGAGGGTGTGAAGTCTTCGCCGCCGACAACACAGAGCTGTGGACACCGGTGGGTTACAACACTGCTGTATGTGATTCAGTCTGAGTTGCCTCTCAATGTTTTCACAGACAAGCCAGGGCTTCACGTGACCACATGAAAAAAATATCTGCTGCAATTTTATTTTAAAAAAATGCATGCATGACAGTGGGATGGTAGGGTACAGTTCAGCCTAAAGTTTAATACAGTGCTCTGCAGTGAACTTTTAAGAGTTTGCACTTACTCCAGACCTTTCCTGCGCAATTTACCACCTACTAAAGTCTATGGATGCCTTAGTACAAAGTGTGGAGAATAACATTGACCCATTTACAAAAAATCAAGTTTGCTCTGCATTATTTTTTTTCCTTCTATAAACAGAATGCCAGATGGAAGTTTTGTAGGCATTTGTGGGCAGGAAGTCAGCTGTGTGCTGGAGAATATCTCCCCTTACATCACCTCATTGGGTGATATTAAATCCTACCTATATTTTAATGCTTTCAGCTGGTGAGGGTAACGCACATTATATGCCCCCACTTTCTGGTTTTAGAGTGGCTCCCTGACTGGCAAGGTCCTATAGAGCCCCGCTTTAGCCATGCTTTCGAGCTTGCTTCTGGGAAAGGACCAGAGGCTGACCTGATGACGCTGCCTGTGGCCACATGCATATGCAGCCCTAGAAGACTAGATAAAGCAGATGCACCTAGGTAAAGCAGACGCTCTTCCTCCAAGGTCTGTGCATGCGCAATGGTGTTATGAATTATGGGACATGTGGCCCTGAGGAGGGGGATCGGATGATGATCTATGATGCTATGGCTGTACGCTTCCTGACTGAAAATTCGTGTTTCTGGACTTTTTTTTTTTTTAAGCGATCATCTACTGTCCCTGCTCAGTTGGTCTGTACGTATGTAATTTGGGTTAAAAATCTGAGGCTTTTGTACTACCCCGTTTCCCCGAAAGTAAGACCTACCCCGAAAATAAGACCTAGTACTATTTTTGGGAATTGCTAAAATATAAGACCTACCCCGAAAATAAGACCTAGTTGTGACCATTCCCAGGGCCGGTGGTGGCATAAGGGGAAACTTGAAGAGCCGCGGGAGAGAATCAGCGGTGCCAGCGCTAGAGGAAGCGAGGGAGCAGAGCCGCATAAGCCGATGCCTCCTCTACAGCGCCGGCTCCTGTCACAGGCGGAGTGATACCAAATGCACTCCATCTGTGAGGAATCGATAGTGAAAGCGCGCTTCACTCATTCTGGCCAGCGATTGGTTAGCAAATTGCTCTTGGAAAGGTACGGCATCCCTGATTGCCCTGATCACCATATTTTTGTAGATGAATAAGTGTGGATTGTTGTACATTAAAAAAAAAATAAAATAAGATCTATCCCGAAAATAAGACCTAGTGTGTTTTTTTGAGCCAAAAAAAATATAAGACAGTGTCTTATTTTTGGGGGAACACGGTACTTAAAAGTAGAACTGTGGGCAGGTTTCTGACACCTTTTTACATGGACCTGCTGAGTCCTGACTTCCATAACTTCACAGCAGCTATGAGAATAAATAGTTCCACGGTGTCTACAGCTACAGAGATCAGTTGGTGTTTGTTTTAAAGCTCATTTACTGCTTGATAAGTATGTGTAAATAGTGGAAATTCCATAGTGTCTTTTATGCAAATGCTAAGTTCACAGTCTCACTGGAGAACTAAAGTGTAGTAGAAGTGGAAAATTGCAGCTACATGGACTATTCCATATGGTTACACTTGAGGATTTTTCACCAGGATTCTACATTTGACCTGCAGCTCCATTTGATGAAATGATCAAGTTGCAGCCTCCAAAATGTATTCGCACACCAATGAGCACATGAAAGGTTGGATTTCACTCTTTTGGGCTTGACAGACAGAAGCTAAATGAAAAGATTTTTAGGTGTGATTTCCCTTGGAGCTGGAAATTCTTTAGAAATCGTATATCAATATTCCTATTTTGTCTTCTGCTTCCCAGAATAACCTCCATTCAAGAGGTGCATCGCTCCCATCTGCTTGACTGTGAAAAATACACGCATGACTTAGAAAATTCTAAAAACGTACTTGAGAAATTGGAGACGTCCTCAGGTGAACAGAGTTTCACCTTTTTCAAAAAGATGAAGATTTATGTGGAGAATTTTGTTGACTGTCTCAATGAAAAGGTGGGTCAGTAATACAAAAATGGGCATGGAACCTAAATAGTGGAATGTTTGGACATGTTAAAAGTGTTCAGCCCTGGGGGGGAGTGTTATGAATGGTGTGGCGACCTTGTTGAAGGCTGGCTTCACTTTAACGAGTTGGGAATCTGAAATGTTACATTCGTTTTCACAGCCAGGCTTTTGTTTGCATCAGACAGGTTTGCATTCTCCTATAAGTCTGCAGTAATGCAAAAGCCTCTTGACGGAGCTCAAATGGAGGTCAGCTGCACCTGTAAATGAATTCTGAATCATCTCCGAAGTGTCTCAAACTGATGCCATCTGCACGAGCCTAAGTCCTGTCAACACAGGCCCTTGTACTGTGTAGCCCCTTGTATTACATCAGCTGTATTTTTTGTTGACTCTATTTAGGTATTCATATAGTGCCAACAATTTACGCAGCGCTTCACAAACTGCATATTCACATCAATCCCTGCCTTAAAGCAGCGGACAGTCTAAGGTCCTAACCTAGCATGTATACTAGGGCCAATATAGACAGTCAACCTACCATACAGCATGCAGCATACAAGCATGCAAATGAACATGCAAACTCCATGCAGGCATTGTCCTTGGTCAGTGCTGCAAGGCAGGAGTGCTAACCACTAAGCCACTTAGTTGTACTCTGTTTGAGGTGTAGAAGGCCCCAAACATTAGTAGTAACAAAAAAAAACCTGTATATCAGTTTCTTCCCACTACTACGGTGGTTTAACACCGCTGATGTCAACTGGTTAAGGGAAAACAAAAGCCAAACCCGCATGGCCCTGTGTGAAAAAGTGTTTGCCCCCTAAACCTAATAACTGGTTGGGCCACGCTTAGCAGCAGGAACTGCAATCAAGCGTTTGCGATAACTTGCAATGAGTCTGTTACAGCGCTGTGCAGGAATTTTGGTCCACTCATCTTTGCAGAATTGTTGTAATTCAGCCACATTGGAAGGTTTCGAGCATGAACCGCCTTTTTAAGGTCATGCCACAGCATCTCAATAGGATTCAGGCCAGGACTTTGACTAGGCCACTCCAAAGACTTCCTTTTGTTTTTCTTCAGCCATTCAGAGGTGGATTTGCTGGTGCACGAGGTCACGAACAGATGGCCGCACATTATCCTTCAGGATTTTTTGGTAGACAGCAGAACTCATGGTTCCATTTATCACAACAAGTCTTCCAGGTCTTGAAGCAGCAAAACAGCCTCAGACCATCACACTACCACCACCATATTTTACTGTTGGTATGATGTTCTTTCCCCAGTCATCGTCCAGGGCAGCCTCTGAGAGATGGGATCCTCCCACTTACCTGTCGCCAGATCGCTTCTGTGTCCCGTAGAAGACAGATCTTGGTCATTGTTTATGATCAGGAGAGGATCATGTGACCACTATGACAGCCAGTTACAGTGATCACATGATTGGGAAGCCCAGGAAATACCTTCTGTGTTAATATCCCATAGAAAGGCCTGCTCCTGTAGCTCTTTTCAGTCATCTGCTATGGCCAAAAGGCTGGCCTAACCTCTCTCCTGTATTTAAGAATTGTCCATTTGAGGCCCCACATCACAGCGATAGCCTGACAGTGACGTGCAGTAGGGGGTGGGACTTGCTTCAAATTTGCATAGTAAATGACTAGGTTTAGGAGTTCCTGAGGCTGTCGCTGCGAAATCTGAACTGACATACAAGCTGTTGGAGAGACTGCTATCACATACCTTGGCTTGTTCAAAGCCCAATGGTTTACTACAATTTAGTCTGTTTGTTCCTAGATTCTACAGATTAATGAGCTGGAGGCAGAGATGTTCCAAATCTTAGAAGAACGAGCCAAAATTTTACTGAAGCGCAGGCAGGATGATCTCCGGAATGAGTCGGCTGCAGTTCAGAAACTCTTTGGTGAGTGTGTGTGTTTGACCCATGAATGATACTTGACTTCATTGCTACTGCAGAGGACATAGAGCAATTGCCTGTTTTTATCTCTCAGGAAATGGAGTAACAAGTGATGTGGAAACATCAGATGACAAAGTAGAAAATCAGATTCAGGATTGTGAGCTACGGAGGTAATGTACAAGGATTGCTGAAATTGGCAGTACTTGGAATTTGAGCGTTTGCATTTCATTATCTGTTCTTGCCTATCTATAGAAGGAAGAGGCGACAGAGGCGGGCAGAGTCTGGAGAGGAAGACCACTGTGAAGGAATGTCCAGTGATGATGAGCTGCCCACTGACCTAGAGAACAACCTGCAGAGAAGTCGAGGTAACTGTAGACACAGCTGTTTTGCAGTGGTGAAAATTGTGTTACTAGCTAGTTATATGCTAATCTTTTACTTCTTGTAAACTACATTTACAAGAAGTAAAAATCATTGTTGGAGAACTTTTGAGGTATCCCAAGATTAGACTTCTACAATCATATGTCATGTAATGTTGGAGAGCTCACAGCACTCGCACAGGGTTTTTCATAAACCAAAAAGTCTTTATTCTTTTTCTTCAGACAACTAAGGAAGTCCAACATAAAATAGCTTGTCTTCAGCATCACATATATTGGTTTACCAGTTGTGCCACACACTCACTGTCCCGGCCTTTTAAAGTTTTTCTCTTGCAGCACTGCTTCTCAAGCCTCAGGGCCACTGTCTGTTTCCTCCAGCCTCCCTGGCTGTTCCTTGTGTGGCTTCAACCCACCACCTGCCTCGGCCCTCGTGTGCCTCCAGCACACACCACCTGCCTCGGCCCTCGTGTGCCTCCCGCACACACCACCTGCCTCGGCCCTCGTGTGCCTCCCGCACACACCACCTGCCTCGGCCCTCGTGTGCCTCCCGCACACACCACCTGCCTCGGCCCTCGTGTGCCTCCCGCACACACCACCTGCCTCGGCCCTCGTGTGCCTCCCGCACACACCACCTGCCTCGGCCCTCGTGTGCCTCCCGCACACACCACCTGCCTCGGCCCTCGTGTGCCTCCCGCACACACCACCTGCCTCGGCCCTCGTGTGCCTCCCGCACACACCACCTGCCTCGGCCCTCGTGTGCCTCCCGCACACACCACCTGCCTCGCCCCCCGGGGGCCCCCCCCCACCCCCCCCCCCCTGCCACAGCCCTCGTGTGCCTCCAGCACACACCACCACCATCCTCTGAACTCTGGTCTGGGCTCTTAATGAGGCTGCTCTCAGCCACCTGATCTCCAGTCCTGAGGTCAGGTGTTGCTGGTGATTTCATCCCACCCGGAACTCTTAAGAAATCTCCAGAGATCCAGATCCCAGCTACAATCCAGAAAAAACGGAAGAAACTGAAAGGCCAGTTTCTTCCCTGCAAAACGAATTGCATTCTAGAACCTCTCAGCCCCTCTGGCTGAGAGTCCTGGGTTACCGTGTTGCCAGCATACTCCATGGCATTGCCACGCACTCCCACAGTCATAAAACACACAATCTTTAGATTAGCAAGATTACTTTGATATAACTATCATTAACATCTCCCATAATTTTATAATGCAGCTTCATCTTCTCATCTCCTATATTCTGTAAACATTGTTTTTACATAAGTCTCTCCCAGAATATTGTACTCCACATTTTTTCATCTTCGCAGGGATTTAATAAGATGTATATACTTGATGCGTTTTGCGTAGATTTGTTTCTTCAGGAGATGGCTACACAATGTTTAACATACATGGTTTATTCTGTTGCCTTCTATATATGGCTTTCATGGATACCCATAAATTATCTATGTAAACGATTAATGTTATCTTAAATAATGGTTTTTAAATAATATGTTTAATAATACAAAATGATTCATTTTAGAATAAGTGTAGCCATCTCCTGAAGAAGTGACTCTTCACGAAACGCATCGAATATACCATACATCTTCAATGCAGCCATAGATCAGAATCCATGCCCAGATCACTTGTAGCAGCCTGCTTGTTCACCCACTCTTCTGGACCACGGCAATTGACTTCAGGATGGTGAGCGGGGAGCAGAGTCGGGAGTAGACTGGAGAATGTCTGCTCTTCGATCTGCTCTGTGTGATCAATGAGACAGAGTGCGCTTCCTGCTGTCACAAGCCAGGCTGCACAGGAGATCCTGCACAATGCTGTGGTCGATCTTCTGTATTAGACGGCAGGGGAGACATAGTCTCCACAGAGAGAACCTGTCCCCTCCAAATGCTATCATACAGGGCTTGTTAGCCCTTGTGTAATAGCAATGAAGTTTAGTGAAAAAAATTAAAATAAATGTAATAAAATAAGTAGTGCTGCCCCCATTCCACACCCCTGATTGATAGGCCTGATGCATGGTGGATCAAGCAGTTCATGATTACAGACTGCAAATATTTGACACATGTACATTTCCAGGAGGATCCGAAACGTGTGCTTTATGTGCTAAGTATCTAAATAGCTGGATTGTTCCTTCATCTATGTTCTGCATGAAAAGTCTCACTGATCTATGTGATATTTTTTTCCCCCTCACCTGCAGAAAACATCTTAGGGCAGTGCAGGACCATATTTGATGATGTCCATGAAGACTTCTGCCGAGTTAAGAATGTACTGCGTAAATTTAATGAATGGAGATTGAAGTTCCCCGAGTCCTATTATGATGCTTATATCAGTCTCTGTCTACACAAGATTCTGAATCCGCTGGTCCGTTTGCAGCTGATAGGCTGGAATCCGCTGGAGGTGGGTTTGTATAATTTGCATGTAATGTCACTGCCTTTGTAATGTCTGTTTTTTTTCGTTAACAAAAAATGTCATAGAGAGTCTCGGATGTGTATAGTTAGCAAGTTTTTATTTATGTATTCATTACATTCACATGAGGCCCGGCTCCTCAGCTGTTTGGAAGTACAATTCCCATGTGGCATTGCAAGATTATCACAGGCATGACTCCCAGAGACAGATGCATTATGGGATTTGTAGTTTTACCACAGCGGGAGGGCCGGAGTTTGCCCTAATCTCACATACATATACCAGGTCTTTGGAGCATTGGAGGAAACCAGAGTACAGGGAGGACCCCAGTGAACTGTTTGATTATTAGTGTTAGAGAGTTGAACTCCAGGCAAGCGGCTAGATACGCAGATGAAATACATGTCTGTAAAGGATTCGTATTTGTGTCCATCCAGTCCTGAGGTTTACACAGCCCTACCCCACAACAGATCCATCCTGGTGACTTGACTGTTTTTTTTCTTCTGTAGTTAATTTGTTACCCCTAGGATGAAGTTTAAATATGTGTGTTTGGTTAATCACACATGTCTTGGTAATTGTAGTCTGTCATTTGTTTTATTTTTATTGGTGCCGATCAATACCTGGTGGTCCCTGCTGGTCCCCCTTGTTTCCAGTATTAAGCTGACCTCCTCCACATGCTGGTGTGGTCAGTTTGTGTATCTGGGATGTCATCTAGCAGGTTTAAGACGCAGTGCCAACCTACGGGGTGCCTGTATCTTCAGTAGAGATGAGCCTGGGCAGGGTGAGAACCCACTTTTTCTGAATTTGCCCAAGTTCATTTAAAACTGACCTCCACACCCA